CACCTGGGGGTGGAAAAGACGCCCCCGGTGCCAAACTGCTGCAGCCCCCCCAGGTTCACCACCAGGGGGCAGTAGCCCCCCGGGGCCGCCGCAGCGGCACTGAGCGCCAGGGGCGTCGCCATCTTGTTCCTCCGTAGTGTTAAAGCTCTCGGTCAGGAGACTTTCTCCCTTTCGGCTCAGTCGGGATCCGGTCTCTTTCCCGCTGGAACGTATTCGGCTCTGTTCAGGGTGCTCCTGGGGAACAGCGACTCCCGCGGGAGTCCGTGTCCGTGACGGTGGCGGACGAGACGGGACTTCCTGTCCTGCCGATCAGATCGATTTCCCGGAATGGGGGAGCCCCTCTCTGTGGGTCTCGGAGCAGACGCGCCTTGCCTCCTGTTTTCATTCTCCGCCCGTTTCCTCGTTGTAGACCTTTCCCACCTTCTCCTCTTTAATCCGTCTTTTCTTCGCTCCCCTTTCCTCTCTCTCTCTCTCTCCCCCTCCCTCCCCCCCTCGTTTCTCTGGCCGCGCGTGTCTGTTCATCCTCCACGCCGAAACCTTAAACCCTGAAGCAAATGCGCTGAGCTGGAGGAGGAGCTGAAAAATGTCACCAATAATTTAAAGTCTCTGGAAGCGCAGGCCGAGAAGGTAGGAGAGCCCGTCCTGGGGAGATCAGCATGAGTGTCTCTCCCGTGTGTCTGTTCGGTGTGTGTGGGGGGGGTATGAGCCCTCGTTGTCGAGGGATCGACCGGACCCCCCGGTTTTCTGATAGGCAGAGGAATCTGTCGGCATGCTATGCCCCTCTGTTGGTGGGATGCGAGTTCGATACCTGTGTGTGGGCGTGTGTGCCCACACCTTGCGATAAACATCAGCAGGTCTCTGGAGGGGCTTCAGGAAAACCGAAGTACTAGCAGCCATATCGCCCTGACACTCCCAGCTGGCAGCCCCACTGGAGCTCACTGGTCAGTACCTGGAGGGGAGACCTCCTGGGAAAGCTAAGACTGCTGCTGGAAGAGGTGTTAGTGTGACCTGTAGGGGGCGTTCACCCTGCAGTCTGTGTGGGTCCTAATGCCCCAGTATGGTCATGGGGATGCTATACTGTAATAAAGGCACTGTCCTTTGGATGAGATGTAAAACTGAGGTCCTGAGGTGGGGGTGTTACCCCAGTGTCCTGGCCAAATCTCCCCCCGGCCTTTTCCAGTCATGGCCTCCTAGTAGTCCCTGTCTCTGATCTGGCTTCATCACTCTGCTCTCCTCCCCACTGAGAGCTGGTGTGTGTGGAGAGTACTGGAGCACTCTGGTTGCCGTCGCCTCATCCAGGCGGGGCCGCACACTGGTGGTGGTAGTGGGATTCCTGGGAAAGGAGTTTGAGTGGAGTTGTCCAGACAAGCGCCATATGTTTGTAAGGAATTCATGTCCACTGTGCTATAGGCGCAGGCGTGGTAAAAGGTGAATTATTGCCAGTTCTGCAGTCGATGTACTGCCCGTAATGGAGGGCACTGATGAGTGGTGCTGCCTATGGGTGCAGCACACCCCTCCTAAATGCCCCCGGCCTCTCGTTTTCCTGAAGCACTCGGTTCTGCTTTGTTCGGACCTGCATGTACTGCGGAGTTTGCGTTGCACGGATTTGCAGAGTGGTTCCAATTTCTATTGGGCATGTGTTTTGTCTTGTTAGCATGTTTCCATCGCTGTTATTGCAGCGATTGTGCCTTAATTTAACCATGATTATTCTAGGAGGGTGTCAGATCCCCTCCCCAGAGGGGCTGCATGAGTCCTGATTCATTTAACTTTTCTAGGCTTTAATTAACTCAGTTGAGATGTATATATGCAACCTTGAAATCAAGTGTTCCATTTTTAAATTACTTTTTTTACACTCCAGAGATC